GGTTTAGTTTAGTTTACTTTATTGTCATTGCACCTTGTACAACGAAATTAAATGCCATCTTCAGTGTACATTATAACTATAAAAATAAAAACACAAACACACATCCTTCACATGGCATATAATTGAAATTGAAAACCCGATATTGCATTAATATTGCATTATACCGTAGAATTCAATATGGTTGATGCCCTGGGATAGAGGCTGTTTTTCAGTCTATTTGCCCTTGTTTTTATTGTCCTGTACCACCTGCCAGATGGTAATAGTTCAAAAGAAAAAGGGAGCCGGGATGAGATGGATCTTTGAGGATGTTTTGAACTTTCTTAAGGCAGCGAGAGCTATCAAGCTTTTCCAAAGAGGTGAGGAGGCAACCCATGATCCTCTGGGCAATGACTTCGACCCTCTGGAGCCCTCTCCTATCTGCCCCTGTGCAATTGGCAAACCAGACACAGGGGCAGTTAGTTAAAATACTCTCTATGGTGCAGCGGTAGAAGGTCACCAGCAGTTTTCCATTCAGTTGTTGTTTTCTCAGAAGTCTCAGGTAATATCATCCCTGCTGGGCCCTTCTGACCAGTGCTGCAATGTGAGTTACCCCAGGTCAGGTCCTCTTTTTATGACAACATCCAGAAACTTAAAACTGACCACTTGCTGCTCTCGGTCTCTATTGATTAAGCAAGGGCTGTGTGTCCGATCTATTCCTCCTGTAGTCCACTATGAGATCCTTGGTCTTATTGGGGTTAAGGACCAAGTTATGGTCTCCACAATAGTCGTTAAGTGAAACCGCCGAGCTGCTGATCTTTCTGATCGACAATTTCGGCGTCCTTAGCCACTGAGCCACCGCATCCCTAACAAACGTTTTTACTAAATGAACAACTGCAGAGATTCATTTGACAACGGCGGCAAGGAAGTTCGTAAAAAGGTAAAACCCACGTTAACGTCTGTCTCGCTTAGCCACGGAAACTTTGGGCCCCATTGTGGTCGTAGGTCGAGGACTACCTGGTCCTGTACCTGGAGGGTGGAGAGAACATTATGGGAAGCGCTAGACGCAATCAAAGGTTCCCCCAGTGAAGGATGAAATGCAAATCCTCACTTTCCCCAAAGTTCTCCTGTGAAGTCAAACTTGTAAAGGGACTTTCATCATATGCAAATAACAAGGGGGGGAAATAATTCAAGGACGAACCCACGCACCCCTTCCCCGTACCCAGAGGCCACCGCGTAGACAGCGAATCCAAAGCGGGAGAAGATGTGAAACAACACACACACACACATACCCACAAGCCCTATTTCCAGGGGGAGAGGGAGAAGCCTCTGCAACTCCCCCACAACCTTTGGCACCATCGCAAACCCTCCTGCCTCCCCACAAGCAAAATAACACACCTCCAAAGAAACGTCAGAGAAAAACCTACTCACCTTCCATCGTGAGCTCTTCTGCCGGGAGGACGCACGAACGAAGGAAGCAGGTGAAGAAGAACGAGAGAGAAGGAAGGTGGGGGGAAAGAAAGAAAAGTTAAGGTTAGAACAACTGATAATCCAGCAAAACGAGATGGGATGAGTGGAAGATGAAGGGCGTGAATTTTAAATGAAAGAAGGCAATTTCCCTTGGGCTAAAGCCTGAAACCGAACCATATTATTGTGGCTGGTGGAGCTGGCAGGAGAGTCGGACAGTGAGGAGGTTGGGGAGGAACATGGGCCAGTTCTGGGGGTTGAGGAATGCTCAGATGACGGTTCTACATCGGAGGCAGAGAGGCAGGCGTGGGTTTCAAAAATTTTTTAGAACCTCTTCTGTAGGTGTGGCCTGCTTTGTGGGAGTGGCTTGCTGGCCATGTGACAGGGTGGGAGTGGCTTGCCGGCCATGTGACCGGATGGGCGTGGCCAACTTGTAAAATGTGGTGAAACTCACTTAACAACGCTCTTGCTTAGCAACCAAAATGTTGNGGTTGGCAGAAGCTGGGACAAGTAACGGGAGCTCACTCCGTTATGCAGCGCTAGGGATTCGAACCGCCGAACTGCTGACTTTGGTGATCGACAAGCTCAGGGTCTTAGCCACTGAGCCACCGCATTCCTTTTCCCCTTGCATAAGGGGTCTGTAAATATTATAAACTTTCCCATCTTTATTTAACAAGAAAACTACATCGCATAAACAAATATTTCAGATGAGGTCTCTATCTAATAATCGAATTGACCCAACATCTAATCTATACATAAAGCAAAAGAATTTGTTTTCTTTTTTGTTATTGTTGTTACTGCTAGATGCATGTTTTATTTTTCTGTTTTGTATTTAATCCTATTGATAAAACGTTATAAATATATACATGAAAGAAACATAATTACATGTGCAAGTAATCCTCAAGTTTTTTGCACTTGTGCCAGAACCCCTGAAGCACTTCCAGGTTGAAAGAATCAGCTCCTTCCACATCCCCCAACAGGAGCTGGAGTGAAGAACGGGAGCTCAACTGCTCCCCGTGGCAGTTTTCGGATCTCAAGCATGAGCTTGCTAGCCTCCCGCCCAGCTTTCCAACCCCTTGAGTTGCCGTGCTCCTTAGTCCTCACGTTACAACTACAATTGGGACCAGAATTTCCTGTTAAGTGAGTCGTGCCTGATTTTACAACCTCTTTTTTTGCCATGGTTGTTAAGCAAATCACTGCAAGTTGTTAAGTTAATCAAGTAGTTTAGTTTACTTTATTGTCATTGCACACCGTAGCACGAAATTAAATGCCCTCTTCAGTGTGCATTAAAACTATAAAAATAAAAACACATCCTTTAAACTCTATACAAACTGAATTGAAAACTCCGATATTGCATTAAAATTACGTTATACAGTAGAATTCAATATAGTTACTGCCCTGGGATAGAAGTTGTTTTTCAGCCCTTGTTTTTATTNCAGAAGACGACACTAACGAGCAACAGCTGCTCATTATTCCTGCACCCCGACTCAACTCACAGCAAACTTCTGCTGAGTCACAACACTCACCCATCTTAAAGCAGGCTGGCTGGGGAATTCTGGGAGTGGAAGTCCACATGTTTCGAAGCCAGCTGCCTGGGGAATCCTGGGAGTTGGAATCCACCCATCTTCAAATTGCCAAGGTCGAGAAACACTAGTCCTCCATTCCTATCCTTCTCTAAGCCCTTATGATCTATTTCTACCCATTCTCTAGGCTTCTGTCCATCCTTCGTAGTGATCTTTCTCCTTCTTACCTGCAATTCCAGGAATCCAAAGCCCAAAGGAACCTAATTTCCACTGTGGAGAGATGGGATTTTGAGCGTGGGGGCTGTGGGCGCTCTCACAAAATGGCTGTCAGGCCTGTAGCCACCTTTTCTTTGAGATCTTTAGCCTGCCACACTTCTATTATTCTACTATGCATTTTCTGCTGTGGGAAAATGGGAGTGGGGATTGTAGGAGTGAGATGCTATGTATCCATAACAACATTCTTTCTAGGAAGCCAAGGTCATCTTAATAAATTGGAACTTTATAAACTGGAGCAATACTTTGCCTTGGACTCTGATTTACTTTTAGATGCTATTTGGATCCCTAACAATGGCTAGCATCACACACACACAGACACACACACAAGACAAATTGTAAAACACAGGTGCCATCTAGCTTGCCCACAGTGCTCTTTATCAAGCACTTTAGCTTGGTTTTTTCTTCTTTTTTCTGAATACCCTGTTTCCCCCCAAAAATAAGACCTCCCTGGATAATAAGCCCGATCGGGCTTTTGAACGCATGCGCTAAAATAAGCCCTCCCCTGAAAATAAGCCCTCCCCAAAAATATTGCAGCACATCCAGCAGCCATGAGGTGACCACTCCTGCCGGCTCCTGCACCTCAAAAAAATAAGAAGACCTCCCTGAAAATAAGGCCAAGCACTAATTTTTGGGGGGTCAAAAGAAAATAAGACCCTTCTTATTTTGGGGGAAACATGGTAGGTGGGCAGACTGTGGGTTCCCCTGGCCACACACAGCCCAGGAATACTCTTGGAAATAAAGGTAGTACAGAGCCAGATGCTTTTGTATTCAGCAGGAAAATGTCCCCTGTATGTGTATATATGTATGTATGTGTGTGTGTGTGTGTGTGTGTGTGTGTATGTATGTATATGTATGTATGTATATATGTGTGTGTGTGTGTATGTATGTGTGTGTGTGTATGTGTGTGTGTGTGTGTGTGTGTGTGTATGTATGTATATGTATGTATGTATATATGTGTGTGTGTATGTATGTATGTGTGTGTGTATATGTGTGTGTGTGTGTGTGTGTGTGTGTATGTATGTATATGTATGTATGTATATATGTGTGTGTGTATGTATGTATGTGTGTGTGTATATGTGTGTGTGTGTGTGTGTGTGTGTGTGTGTTGTATTTGTGCTGATAAATAAACAAAGGGAGACTAG